CTCTCATTCTGTTTACGCCAAATTCTGACTCTACCATCTGAATGTCTCAACAGAAATCGAGACTCATCAGACCAGGCAACATTTTTCCAGTCTTCAACGGTCCAATTTTGGTGAGCTCTTGCAAATTGTAGCCTCTTTTTCCTATTTGTAGTGGAGATGAGTGGTACCCGGTGGGGTCTTCTGCTGTTGTAGCCCATCCGCCTCAAGGTTGTGCGTGTTGTGGCTTCACAAATGCTTTGCTGCATACCTCGGTTGTAACGAGTGGTTATTTCAGTCAAAGTTGCTCTTCTATCAGCTTGAATCAGTCGGCCCATTCTCCTCTGACCTCTAGCATCAACAAGGCATTTTCGCCCACAGGACTGCCACATACTGGATGTTTTTCCCTTTTCACACCATTCTTTGTAAACCCTAGAAATGTTTGTCCATGAAAATCCCAGTAACTCAGCAGATTGTGAAATACTCAGACTGGCCCGTCTGGCACCAACAACCATACCACGCTCAAAATTGCTTAAATCACCTTTCTTTCCCATTCTGACATTCAGTTTGGAGTTCAGGAGATTGTCTTGACCAGGACCACACCCCTAAATGCATTGAAGCAACTGCCATGTGATTGGTTGATTAGATAATTGCATCAATGAGAAATTGAACAGGTGTTCCTAATAATCCTTTAGGTGAGTGTACATACATGTATATTTAACTCGCCCTGCACAAATCGTGTGGCTTGTTGAAGAAATGTGTTATTACTTTTCTAAACAATCAATGTTTTCAGATTTCACCTGGCAGACACTAACACTGAAAGAGGGAACAAAGCCATATCTAGAGACCAGAATTCGAGTGTGCTGTTTTGACTTGGAACAGTGAGCGACTGCCTAGTAACTGCATAGGAACACCCTGTCAACTAACCTCAAAAACGCTCATCATGGCGGAGAGTTTTGTACTGGTAAGTTGCACTTACATATTTCAGAATATGTGAAAATCAAATGAATGACGAAGTATTTGGGAAAAAATAAAACTTAAGTCATGGGTCTTGACTTGCATAAATATTGACTTGCATAAATACCTTCTTGTTTTAATAATGTGGCTCCATTTTCTTAGTGACAACAGAACAGGCGTATTTCATTTGCATCCAGTAAATATGCCCTGATCGCCGCCTTTGACCCCTGTCCTCTCAAATGGAGATCTCACCTCATAAACAATACCAGTGAGTGGTCCTCCTCTGTCAATATCACTCACAGCATGCTGCAAAGTATTAAATGTCCCACCCTATTTCTTGGCATTTTAAATGCAATTGCACAGTGGTTTTATATCTATTGGCACGTTGCCTTTGCCAAAACATTTTGTTTCTCCTGCCATTGGTTCAAGAAATTGCCTTTTCTATTTTTACCCCATTTTCAGTTTTTAAAGGAAGACTATACCTTTTTCCCCAAACATGTTTTTGTCTTACCCTGATTCACTATGGTAAGCCTTTTATAAGTGTTTATATTTTAGGCCTTACGGATGGTTTTCGTGGGATATTGCATATATATGCCACTCGCCCGTCTCGTCATATCCGAAAAAGAGAAAAGCTGCTCCAGCTTCTTTAAGGCAGGTGTGTTGTGAGAGTGGCATAGTTTAGATGTTGTCACAAAGAGTGAGAAAGGCTTGCTTTGGATCACTCTAAATATCCAACCGGGGAATCACCAGTTTTTCTTTGGTTTTTTTAAAACGCCAAACAGAGTCTGCTAGCAAAGAGTACGCAACAGAACTCGTAATAAAACAAGAATCAACTTTGGTTTGGCTTTTCGGTGATGGTGAGAACTGAGGGATTTGATATGTTGTAAAAGATCTTGAGATGGCATATGCCATATGTAGTACAAAATTCATTCCAAATCATTATCTATAGTAAAAGATAATTTCGTTATGGTTGTTGTAGCGCTAGAATTTATTTTCAAGGAACTACCGTGTCTATTAATGGGTATAGCTACAGTAATGTCTTCAGCTAGTCATCTTGAAATACTTTCCATCTAAACTGGTTACATCTCTTAAGACTAATAGTGAATGTTTTATGAGCAGTAGAATAACCATATTCATCTGTAAAGTCACACAGATCCGAAACACAACCAAAACAATGTTCTTCTACAAAATGCATGCATTTTTTTTAACTGTTAGAGGGCTAAAAGTTACATAGTGTACCTTTTTATATAATTTAAATAATGACAGAATGTTTATTTTTGGGTGAACTATTCCTTGAAACATTCGTTTTGTCCTCTGGGTGGCAGTAACTCCTATGAAAGCCCGAGACTAGGAAGGAAAGCATAGCTGTGGGGTCACAAACAGAAAGGCTGCTCCCTATCAAATAAATGACAACAGTATCTTCATAAATATGCATAACAGTTGAAGAGACATTATAGAAAAAAAATGGTATTCGTCCCCAGAACCGAACAGCTGTGCAAAATTGTTTACATTTTCTGAAGTCGTCTGAATCAGTTTGAAAGCATATTAAGTGCCAGATGGTTTTCACGCTAGTCTATTAAACACTACTCTATTTGCTGGCATTATTTATAGTTTTGGCAAACAGATCAAAGCTGGTGGTTTTGGAGTAATTTGATGCATGCTAACACTGCTTCACCGCATATGGAGGTGCAGTTAACAGTAGATCATCTGCTAAACCTCTCATTCACTTAAATATTAGTTGTTTTTTAGTTGCTTTTCAATCCAACAGCTCAAAAAAAATACTGGTGAAATTAGATAAACCTTTAAGCTGTAACCATTACAATTGCACAACATCTTTAAATGCCATTTCATACTAGCTGTCAGCATGTCATTATTCTTTCCTCAGTAAAAACGTAATCAATCTCAATCAGATTATTTATTAAAAGCACATTTGCTTCCACATCTGCACAAATATTAACAACAACAAAGCTAAAATAGTGAGCTATGAACACCATCCAAGTGAGAGCTTGCACTCAAGTTAAATGAGAAACATCATACCCTTTTGATTAATTCAGTTTAGTCCAGTTCTTTATTTATAGAGCTGCTTTGCCAGAACGGTGGATTAGGAAGTGCTTAACAAAGACTAAGTGAGTGTAATGGCTAAAAGGAACACTATCAAGTAAGTACTTACCATATAGCCATAATATTACCATAATATTTTTGACATGTCCCAAGGTATAATGATGGTCTTCTTTAAACACCATGGTATGTGAATATTTTCATGTTTATTTAGTACCATGGTACTACATTCTGGTTCTTGTCAGTCAGCACTTTTACTATCTTCTTTCTTTGTGTCATGTTTTTTCTTTCTCTTTTTCAAGTTGTTTTGTTCTTTTACTGTAGGTGATCGCGGAAGAACAATAACAGACAAATGATCTTGAGGTGGAGCTTGTTTTGTCTTGAACACAATAGGATAAAAAAAAAAAACTTATATCATCATCTTCTTTTTCCCAAATCCCAGCACCATGAATGGAATCTGTGATTGCAAAACGTTAATACGGGAGACAGAATTCCAGGAATCTTCTGTCCTAATTTGACCTTTCTCTCTTGATAACACCTTAACTGTATAATTCTGTGATGTAAATGCATTTGAGGCCATGATTGACATTTCTTGACCTTTGGCTATTACATGATTAATGGCTTTTAGATGGTTTTAATTAATCAAATTGTTTTTAATACTAACAGGAACCATGAATCCCACGTGCTTGATCAGACACACAAGCCATCAAAGATATGTGTGTGTCTCATGGAAGGAGAATGGCGTACCGAAAAGAGGTAAAAGTCATGTGCCTCCAAAGGCATAGACCATTGATACCCAAATAGAATCACGCATGCTTGTTGTTTTTTCAAATAAGATAATTACAAATTACAAACACAGTCTTAAAGCAATAGTTCACCCAAAATAATAGTTCACCCTCATTTGTTGCACAACTTTGTTTTTGCTGTGGAACAATATGTTTTGAAGAATGTTCATGCTGCTCTTTTATATAATTGTGAGTGTCAAAATCCCCCAAAAAAGTTAAATAAAAGTGGCCCATATGAGTTGTGCGCTATATTCCAAATCTGAAGAAGCCATGCAATAGTTTGTGTAAGGAACAGACAGAAATATAAGTTGTTAATTACTGAAAATCAGAACATTTACAAGGGGTCACAGTTTGACTTTAAAGTATTTAAATTAATAGCTTATTATTATATCAAAATAATCTAACTCTAAATTAAAATGGAAAAAAACACACATTTAATCAAGATACATTTAAATAATTGTTCTTCGCCCCTCTATTGTTTTTATTGAAAATAATATATTTTTATTCACAATATCACTAAAATTAATCATGGTCAATTAATTTAATATACCAATAAATCCCTGGAATGACTTGAATTGACTTCAAATTGAATGATAATATTGCTCAATTGAACAAAACTGGTATTTAAGTATGAATCTGCACTTTTGCGTTCATTAATAGCACAATGATATTTATCCTCTCCTCTCAACAACAAACTCTTGAAGAACAGCATATCCCTTTTGGCGAACATAATTTGTAAATCTCCAACAACAAGAGGCCACAGAAGATAAAGGTGCCTGTTGCTCCAATACCAGACATTTGTTAACAATTAGGCCAGTGCTCAAGACTGACTCACTGAAGCACATGCACCGTGTCCCACCTCCTTTTCTCCTCCTTCTCCCTTCATCGACTCCCTCCCTTTCCCACACAGAAACAATCACTCCCTCTCTCCGGCATGTTTCCCAAAGCTGCACATGGTTACTGTCCAAGGTATTACTTTCCACTGGTTCTATAGCAAAGAGGAAGCTTGTTATTGAGGGTTTTTCTTGACACACCAGCTGTTGGATGCTGTGCCCACAAGTGTCCTCGACATTGGATTAGTCTGCAGATTTAGTGACTTATTTCTTGTAAGCAAACCAGTATTCTTCTTGACTGATGCTCTGGAGTCTGATGAGTCTTTGAAATACATCCCAAGTTTGAACGTTCAGACAGGTGAAATATATTTGGTCTCAAGTCTCCACATTCGTCTTTACCAAACTGACCTGGGGTGTTTTACAGAATCAACATGAAAGGTAAGCTGTTTCTTTTATTGATTCATACTTTGACTAATATGTTTTTTTTTTGTTATTCATGTGAGAAATACTTGTAAATACTGGCTAACATGAGCGTGCTGACAGCACACATTCAAAGCTGAAACTCCGAGGTTCTAGAGAAAGCAGGGAGCTGTTGATGTTGGATTGGAGTTTGTGGTTCTGTCATTTTGACAGCAAAATACATCATACCTTCACCACTCTCAGCTTGACACTATTTGCTATTGAATTTTCAGTTAGACTCATACCAATGGGGCAACATTTTAGATGCTGGTTTTATCCAACACAGAATAATATAATACCATTGGTTTTCATAAAAACCAAGCGAGATCTTTTTGAAGGCAAGTGGAACATGTGGATCTGCATCCTTTGGTGGTAGGATCTTGGATTTATAGGAAATGTATCCAAAATGAAGATAAACATTTCTCTCTTTTAATGCATAAACCAGAGACTCATGAAAGAGCATGGCTCCTAATGCATTCCTCATGCTGTGAGAGATGTGCGATTTAAGCTCTTCATTCTTCAAGTGTGGGCAGCAGGTGTGGAGCCAGTGTTAACCGCATACGCATACATTCCCTTCAGCTGTTTTCCCAAGATCTGACCAATGAATCTATTTGTAATAGAAAGAAAGGGGCAAGCAGGCTCTTCTTATTCTTAGTTACATCTGACCGAAGTGTATCAGATCTAATGAAACACTCTTGATCAACATATTTGTTTATAATTGAACACAGCACGTCCTGATTTTCCAAAGTTAGACACGTCCTGGGTCAACATATTTTGTTGAGCCTGGAACAACATTACTGTCCAAAAATGTAGTCCTAACCATATTCCTACACCTCAACCTAACCCTTCCCATATGTTACCTCTAAAATTATTGGGAAATGATCAGTGAATAAAACTCTGGTATTAAGATGTTTGCACCTGGGGCCTCATGTATCAACACTGCGTACGTACGCACAAAAACACAGCGTACGCCAGCTTTCACGTTCACGGCCAGATGTACTAACAGTGAAATTAACGTAAGAATGTGCGTTCCTCCAAGTAAACTTCATGTCTGGCGTACATATATTTGTCGTGATTTTTGTCCGTTGGCGACTCATGGAGGCAATAAAGTGAAGTGGCAAACATTACACTACGAATTGTTCTATCGCACCACCAGCTGTCAGATATTGCTTATAATTTGTTATTGATAAATTATTTGACATAATATTGTCACACGAGTTTTATTAAAATATTATATTATGCCATTAAGAACATATATAAAGCATGTCCAAATTGATACAACCCGTCTAGCAATGGCAGCGTTGGCTTAACTAGGAATAAAAAATAAACTTCATTAATTCGGTCAGTAAAGATAAAAAAAGAAAGTAATATTTTTATTCAGCAAGGACACATTGAAGTGATAAGTAAAAGTGACAGTAAATACATTTATAATGTTACAAAAGATTATAAGATTTCGACATCTGTTTGATTTAAGTTTTTATTCATTAAAGAATCCTGAAAATACTATATCACGGTTTCCACGAAAATATGAAGCAGAAGCACAGCTGTTTTCAACACTGATAATAATCATAAATGTTTCTTGATCATCAAATCATCATATTAGAATGATTTCTGAAGGATCATGTGACACTGAAGACTGGAGTAATGATGCAGAAAATTCAGCTTTGATCACAGGAATAAATTACACTTTACTATATATTCACATAGAAGACATTTTCAGTGAAATTTCGTTTCTTGCTTGCTTTAGCCATGTTCTTGCAGGTTTCTTTTGCCAAATTGGACTAATTACCAGATTAAAATTAATTTAATTGGGGTAGGAGACTGGGTGGGGCGTTGTGCTCGTGCATGTGCGCTCAATTTTATGTTAATTGGGATGTACAAAGAGAATATGCGTGGGATCCTTCGTACACAGAGATTCATACATCTGCTTTTTTTGTGCGTACGCACATTTACAGCTTTGTCCGTACGCAATGTTTTAGAATGAATTCAACCCAAGTCTTTGTACATGAGGCCCCTGGTGTTTTAATCCATCTCTTTTGTCCGCCTTCGACCACTTCTTTCCTGATTTCTTTGAAGAGAGGGTCTATGGGCTGGTAAATGTATGGGATTTTTCAGATCTTTCAATCTAATGGACGATCTAAGTTCACGTAATTTACAAATGAGTGCACGAAAACGATGGAAAAACACACGAATAGCAGTTTTTTTCTGCTCTGATAGCCACAAGACGATGCCTGAACGCGGTGAGGTGTTACCTCAGACACGACCCCATTATGTTTATGCATTAGGTCAGAAGGTGGAGAATAGGCAGTATGTAGTGGTTGTTCGAGAACGCATTCAACCACATCGAGCGTTTACACTACGAAAGCATTCCGGTTGAATGCATTTTCGACTACCTCTGGAAGTGGACAAGCTCAAAACGTTTTAGACCCCGTTTACACCTGTATTTAGCGTCGCCCACTTGTGATCCGATCGACCAAAATGCAGCTTAATACCAGGTGTAAACAGGGCCATGATGTAAAAGCACCTAACCCTGGTTGTAAGCCTAAAGTTGACATAAACAGTATTGTCGGATTGGTTGATTGGAATGTTGTTCCAGGATCAACAAAGTTGTTGATCCAGGAACATGTTGCACTTGGTGAAATCAGGTTCTACATTGAAGGCAAGGATCAAAGGATCAAGGATTTAATGGTCAAAGAAATAAAATGGCTTTTTCTAAAGCCTAATGGGGTTGTTTTTAAGAAGCTGTAAAACATCCCAGAACATGTATTTTAATGTAATTAATGTGTGACTGTAAACATGCAGACATCTAAAGATGGGAGGGGATGGGTGAGATTCACCTCCATTTTTTAACTCTTTATTTTCATAAACTACAATATACACTAAGAATGTTTTCAATTATTCTCCATTGACCTTTATGGTTGAACTCTGCACATACTTTTTAAAATGCGTGTAAAGCAGTTGTACATCAAGTAGAACTGTACAGACACTTGTCTTTATTAGTTGTGGTTGGGTTTCTGTGGTTTGGAAAGACCCTGCCCTCTGCCTCTGCTTCCCATCTCAAGTTGCAGGCATTCCTGTCAGATGTTTTATACCCACTGCATTCATCTGGTCACATAATACCAGTATTACTGTATGTTTCCTGTCTTTTGGTGCTTTTCAGCAAAGTGAATCAATTTAAAGGCATGGGAACACTAGACAAACTCTTTAACCCACAGTTTAGAGATCATGTACACTACGCCAATTCATTCTTTTGGACATCAAAGCTCCTGAAGTTACCCTTGAGAATGCCTCATCAAGTAGCTTTACATTGCAATATTTGAAGGATTAGGAGAATCCTCAGACATCTTTGGCCTCTGTAGAAGGTGTTGAAGAGGTAAACCTCAAACTTTTGACATTGTGAAGTTCTGACATGAGATATCCTCTTAAGCCTTATCCAAAGAGTTCTCAACTCTTGAGTTGTATAAACATTTGTTGCCCTTGCTGTATTTGTGGAAAAGAGGATAGCTGAAAGGATGCCTCATAACAAATGGCATATTTTGAAGAAAAGACTAAATATATTGACAACCATTTTTTGATGGAGTAAGTGAATCTTGGTGACCAAGTCTTTAGAATGGGCACTGCCAATATATTATTATCTCAGGTTAAAATTCATGTGGTTTTAAGTATTCTCACAGTGTTTTGATGACCAAGAATGACATTTCAGCCTGTAATGTTTGGTCAGGGCACAGATGTTGTTTTCATAGCTGGTTGTTAACATACTGTTAAATATCTGCCCAAGTGGACTGTTTTACTTGCGCTGTACACCTGAGATAACTGATGTTTTAAGATTTTATCCTTCAAATGCTACCTAAATTGTGTCCATACTAATGTTATATGGATCATACTCTTTTACAGTGCCCCATATCAGACAAGTTAAATTATATTTCTATGTTCTAAGGTCAACAAATGCTGTTGATTTTGCAAAAAAACAGCAGACCTGGCCAGAAGTTGTTTTTTGTTTGTTTTTTTGGTTCCATTTACTGTATTATATTGTTGCATAACATGCTAACTGAAGACTGCCTCCTTGTTTACGCAAAACTGTATTTTCAATTTTGACTGCCCACTCTTAATAAACACTGGCATATTGCCCTTATGTTTTCAGACTTCTAACGAAATCCAGAAACATTCCATTTCCTCCAGATCCTTGAATGACCCGTCAAGCTAATTAAATATCCTGCCTCTTTTCATACTTCTCAAGTACTTGACCCTCCCATAGTGCTTTTCAATGGTTCTTTCCTTGTAAGCAATGTTTTGAAGGGGAATTCAGACATCCAGACCAGACTGGAGGGTCCCCTCCTTTTCCTCTGTACTGTTGGCAACACTCACGCTACCACAAGACCCAAGGTTGCGCCTGTTCCGAGCCACCTGTATAGCCAGGACTGGTGGGGATAAGTAAAGTCTCTCCACTTTCTCCCTCATCAAGCTTTTGCCCCTTCTAGCACTCTGGCTCCGGTAGACCTGACCTCAGCGGCTTGAGTAGTAGGTATAAACAATCTCACCATGAGCTTAGCAGGATTGGCATGCTAAGCATGGCTCCAAGACGTGCCTGAGGTTTGAAAAATACAGAGCCAAGATTTTAAGCAAACAGAAAACGAAGCAGGTGCAAACTCCTTGAGACTGTGGTATTGAGGGATGTTGTTTTAAAAGTGCTTGCTGAACAATAGTGTACGATAAAGAGAAAACAGTTTGATGTTTAACAGCATTGACAGTGATGACTGGCATACCTCCAGTTCTCAGACTGGCACATCTCTGTTCTCAGGACCTTCAGTACCAACCCAGTGCTCTTCAGCTGCAAGGTACAGGGACGTTGAGTCATCATTCCTTTGGGTGGTTTGCTTCTAAACTTGTCAAACTTTTTACACAAAGTGCTGCATTTCTGCAGACAGTTGATGCCCAATTTTCCCATTTTTAAGTAAACCCTGGCTTGTCTCCAGAAACCATGACTTTGCAACATGGTAGATTGCAAACTTCAGAGACGCCTAAAGAGACGTTTTTGTTTGCTTTTTGTGTATTCCTTCTTCCCTTGGGATAGCTAGCTCTGTGGAACATAGGTGGTCTTGGAGACCATAACACATCTCGATGTTTGTGCTCAAGTAGTATATAAAATGGAACAGGCTAAACAAGGTCTTCCCTCATTATTCAGTTTGAAAACTCATTTTTACCTTTGTCCCTTGTGGATAAAGCTTCTCTGATGTTCTCTAGTCCAATTTTTCCTCACTTGAAGCACCTCATACAATGTTTTGGTTGTACTTATCCAGGTAGTCATCAGCTAATTAGGTTACTAACCGTCATGGGTGGCTGAAATAAGCTTAGCCTGAATAACCCTCTGCTGACAATGCTTTTCCAGATGTTGTGCTGTATGCATTTATCCTTTTTCTATTCATAGCTATGTCCTGCACCACACCTTTATTTTTGTGGCATTTGGCCAGAACAGCTATGGTGTTTCCCACCCAAAGCCTGCAGCTTTATATATATATAATACTTCTCTCACCAATTTTGTGTATTTGTGCTGATATAAGGCTCTTTCCAACAGTGACCTCATATACTAATCAGTCCAAGTTTTTGTCTTGTACTAGCAAGCAGGCCTCATAGTTTTTCCACTCTTAGTTTATGATTTATTGTTTCTGCTGATAAAGCGAATGTGATCATCATTCTCCTAGATACGTTTCAATCTATTGACCTTAATTTGCAAACACATACATCAACCCTTCTGCTTTTCTCCCCTCTCTTGCAGATAGCTATTGTGGCTACGAGAACCAGCTTTTTAATGGTATGTGGAGACTTTTTCTTCTTTCAGTTTTATTTGGACCCTCTTGATATAGAGTTAAAAGACCAAATATGTGCTTAATCCCTGCAGTGGATCTAGCTGTCCTCTTATAATCTCCTGCAATTAAACTCTGAGACCTGACATGATGAAAATATGATGGTAGTGTTTTGTACTGTGCAGGAGGTAGATGATGAGTCTCAAGAAGAACTGTGTTTGATTAGCCAATACGCTGAACAGGATTATGATTGCATTCAAGTATGATGTTATAAATTGTAAAGTCATGACTTATTCGTGTTTTGTGCAATTTCTCTTTGTAGAGGAGGACTTAACTGGAGAAGAAGAGGAAATTCCTCCCATGAGAGGTTAGAAAAAGCATTTTTCTTAAAGCGTATTGCTCTCCTTATTAATGAGGCATTACAGACTACAAAAGATGGGGTTAGGAAAAAGGAGTTATACAGTAGTGATTTTTTTAATGTGCCTGAATGTCTGTAATCTCCACAAATATGACACATCTTGTTTTTTTTTTTTTTTTTTTTTTTTTTACTATGGTCTGACTTATTTAATACATTTTAAGTGTTTGTATGTACATGTCGGCATTTATCCCCCACTGTTTTGTTCGTGATTGATTATTGTACATCTGTTTTAAATGATGTTCAGTTCTTGATGACATTTAGGCTTTGAAAAGATTAATTTACCGAATTTGCAAGTTCAGTTGAATTACTAGTCGCGTCCAATTTGAATAGTCTCTTTACTGTGATTTTTTTTTTTATATATAATAACAGGATATAATGGTTCTGATAAATTTCAGATCTGACAGGAATACCAGGTTTCTTTGTGAGAATGAGTGTCTTTTTTTTGTACACAGGAAGGGCAAGAGGAGGATGTATGAAATGCCAGCAGACACATTCTCTTCAGCTAGCTGTCAAAATGCTCTATGGATTTTTAGCTTTGCTCATAATTGCAGTGGCCGTCTTGGCAACCCTTGGTAAGATGTCACGGCACTGCAACACTATCACTAATAATCCTTGCTTTCAACACAATCTTTTTCTTGGTGATGTGAATGATCAAAGTTGAAAGGTAGATATAAAACTTGTTCTTGAATCAGCGATGGATCAAATTAATTTGAGGATTTCCACATGAGAAGACACACAGCTGGAATAGAGACAGATATGGGCCAGAGAAAAGGAATGCAGGAAACCCTGATTTTCATCCATCAGACACGTGGTTACAGCATGTAGTGTGGGTTTTGATTCAGCATTATGCTCATAAAGCCAACAATCTCCAGATTTTATAGAAGCAGGCCAAAACCTTTCCCTGTGTGGAGCTGCGCTCTAAATCTCACGTCATGCGTGATGTTATATGCCAAATCTGAATCTTTTGCCCCACTTACGAGGATGAAAGCACAACAAATCATTTACGAATTTATCATCTGCGAATCATTTACCTTCAAGACATTTACACAAGTTTCTCCTAATAATATTATGACATACAACAACAAATCCATGTTTCAAATGCAATGGGCCTCCAACAAGAACTTTATTAGCATTGTCGCACTGACAGGATGTAATACTACCACATCAGGCCACAACATAGCTAAACTGTGGCAAAATAAATTAAGAAGAATGTTGTTTGGTTTGATGACAAGATGATGGTTCATTTAAATAAAAAACAGGCCTAACTACAAGATATTTCAGAATGATGCCACACACATCTGTCTCATATTGCTTTAACTCCTCAAAAATGTTGTTAAAAGCAGTTATGTGTGTAATATATATGCTATTATGTTAAGGAAGTTAATGTAGGAAGTGAATCTGTTTGCACAAGACAAGTCAAATCAAGTAACTCAAGCATCCTGTTTAGTGACAAAAAGTAAGCAATGTCCTTTTAGCACTTTTTAAAAAATACAGCAGGTGACATGCAGACATACAGCTGGAAAATAAATTATAACCACAAGCGAGGGTCCATTACACTTTACCAGTCCCCGTAGTCCAAGATTAAGTCTTGGTGTGTGAAGAAAGCTTCAGAAAAGAATTTCAAACCTGTGTATTCTCTAAGGAAACTGAGATCACTTAAACTGTTCCAACATTCCAATATTATGCAATGTTACATTTTTTATTAGAATAAGAAATTCATATTGAACATTTTTTTGCTTGCTTGTTTGTTTGTTGTTCATCACTTAATTCTCTAAAATGACAGTTTTAATATCAATAAATTTGTCATGTCAGTCTTCAGGAGAGTTGACAACTTATCTGAAGAGGAATCATTTTATCACAAACACATTTCCAAAGTCCAGGAGAGTATAAAAGGTAAGAATTCTTGTTTTATTATACATACAATTTTGGGAACTGCTAGGCATTAGTGTTATATATTATTTATATACTAGTATAGTTAATTTATGATTTTTATAATTTATGATTTGTTATATACTTTCACTTTTCATTTGAATTTTAGTTTGTTTTAATATTTGTATGATGTGCTTCTGTCATTTTTATTAGTTTTTTATATTTCTGCAAAGCTTAAAAAAAAATATATATATATTTTTTAAATTTTAGTACTTCAGTTTAAACTTGCCAATTAAGGCAACATTTCGTTTTTCATCTAATATTTGTATTTAAGCTTCATTTTAATTACCAAAAAATATTTTAATAGTTTTTGTTTTAGTTAACAATAAAAACACTGATCTACAACCGGAAAGTGAAACTGCAAACCATGTTTTCACACAGTTGCTTGGGCCTGCTGGATTTATCTAATTTGTTTATCTAATCTCTCGGTTCACTTCCTGTGGTCGGTAAACCCCTCAGAGAGTAAAAACTCATGAGAAATCATTTATAACTGAAATAATGACCTAAGAAACAGCTGTGCACACAGAGCGTTCTGACTGTTAAAACACAATTGCATTTTCCTGCAGTGTATTTTTGGTCAGCAATACAAGAGATTCATGTTTTGGTGGTTCTATTGTAGATATCAGCACTGCAAACAACTATTCCAACTGCTTAGATGTTGCACAATTCCAAGAGGAGATTGCCAGACTGAAGAAGGAGTTTGAGGAGACCCAGAAGATGGTACTCGGTCAAAAGCAGCAGTTGGACCAGGCGATCCAGTCTCAGCAAAGTCTTACGCAAACCAGCAACAGAATGACGAGAGAGCTCCAGGCCTATGGAATCATCATTAAGCGTATAAACCAGTCTGTGGGCCAATACCTGGATCAGGTAACAGGCTGGCAGGTTGTCATTAATGAAACAGATCAAGGGATGAAAACCCTTATTGAGGATCAGTATGATTTGAAGGCCACAATGCAACAAGTCAACACCACTGTTGCTCTTAGTGCGTCGTGGATAGGTGCTCTTCAGAGGAAGGCTGAAGAGGAGACCTTGGTGCTCCAAAAAATTACAGCAGACTGGCAGAATTACAGCAGAGTTTTAAGTGCCATGAAATCCAATACCAGCGTAACCATGCAGACCGTGAGGGCTGTTCAAAGTGGCGTCTCTGCCACTCACCAGCGTATCAGCATGAGCTCAGAGATGGTGCATGACCTCACTCTGCAAGTCATGAACCTTCAGATGCAACTGGACAATGTCTCGTCTTACATTGACGAACACGAGGAGAACATGCATGACCACCAGTACCACACGAAGTACTACGAAAACCGGACCGGGGAGCGATTTGTGACATTGGATGCAAGAATGAACTCCATTGAAATGGAGATCGACACAGTTTCTTCCAGCATCAATGCAACCGTCAGCCATGTTCAGAGCATGTACAAATATATCAACATAGAGAGTTCCTCTTGCCAATCCAGACTGGGCAGTCACACTGAAGATTTGCAGAACTTAAACAACACAGTCTTGCTTCTTCTTCACCTAGCCGACACTCTCAGAATGCAGTACATGATGCTGAATGTGCGCCTCGAAGATGATGTGAGGAACCTATCATTGGTGATGGAGGAGATGAAGCTTGTAGACACCAGTCATGCAAAGCTGATCCAGAACTTCACTATTCTGAAAGGTTATTATCTACTTGTAGCGCCCTGAATGGCCACTGTCCTGCAGAGTTTAACACCAACACTGATCAAAACTTGAACACATTAATTAGCTTGTTCGGGGACGTTTGATTAGCATTGGGGGCTTAACTCTGCTGGACAGTGATCCTCTAGGGCCAGATTTGAAGAGCCCTGCTGTAGTGTCTATAAAATAGCTTCACTCGCATGTTCTTGAAGAGTCTGTCTTTTCTTTTGGATTCTTAATAGGTATGCCTGGTCCACCAGGTCCAAAGGGAAGCAGGGGAGAATCGGGAGCCAAAGGACCTCTAGGTGTATCGGGACTGAAAGGAGACAGGGGACTTGCAGGAAATCGTGGACCTCAAGGATTAAAGGGCGCTATGGGAATTAAGGGGGATCAAGGTGTGCCAGGAGTTTCTGGGATGAAAGGTGGGCCAGGACTTAAGGGAGAAAAGGGGGCTTTAGGGCAACCAGGGCCTCGTGCTGAAAAGGGACCGAAGGGTGATATGGGGGTTCCTGGGAAGGATGGAATTCCTGGCCCCAAAGGACCGCCAGGAATCCGGGGACAAGCTGGACTCCCAGGGGTACATGGACCTCAAGGACCGGTAGGAATACAGGGCGCTGTAGGACCACCGGGGCCGCCTGGAACACCCGGACCACCAGGGGAGCCTGCTCAGAAGTCATGAACAGATAGACATACAACTTAAAAATAACCCAAATGGTGATACACTGACTGCCTTTCTGGATACGGTTATGATGTTTCTTGCAGTAGATGGTGGTAGACGTCAACTTGGAGATCTCTCTCTAAACAAGACGATGGTGGGGACTCTTTGGAATCTTAGAGGCCCACATGCACATTCCCCAAAAATGAAGCTTGCTCTGAACAACAATACACTATGTATAGGCTTTCAACACACTTAGAAAAGAGCTCAAGCACAATTCTATATATGAGCCACTTCACCACAATCTTGTTTTAACAATGGTTATAGAGACTCAATAATTCGCCAGCATCAGCATTTGAAGACAGATAAACATTCGACAAATCATACTTTTGCTTTTTATGGAGTGTATGTATTAATACAGCAACATTTTCCATTTTGTATTTGCATCATAATACAGCAACATTTTCCATTTTGTATTTACATCATAATCCAAGAACATTCAGAGCAGGTACTCTGAAACACGATTTTTATTATGAGTTCAAGTAAACCAAATATTTTCACTCATCAACGCAACGGTAGCCTTGGTACAAATTTGATGAAACACTGTGCGAAAAGTATAATGAACTCATCATTTTACAGTTGCTGGCATTGCATGAACCTGCAAAAACCTTTACAGACAATTTTTTTCATTCATTGGAATTGAACAGTGCAACTTTTAAGTTTTAATGTTCATATTGGTTTGATTTTCCAATTTGTAAATATGGATAAGTTTAACAGGAGTAATTTTAAGCGTTGGTTAATGTGTCTGAGGAGGACTTCATGATGTGTTGACATACAATTTATTCTCTGCACAACAATAAAGGTTTATAAGAATGTAAATAAGAGGGGGGCATTTTTGTTTAGCATTTCCAACTTCACTAAGCATGTACCATTTTCATTACTGCTTTTGGCATTTTATACTAAAATCATGAAACAAATAAGAGAAATGCCTTTTCATGATTATCTATCAACCCAGCAATTACACAATGTTTTTAACATTTCACAATGTTGCATTTTAAGAAATGGCCAAAAACTCTATAATTGAAAAAAACAAAGCAAAATGTGCCGTTTATGGATTTGAATGGCCAAAAGTGATCAGTACTAAACTGCAACTTTGTTTTATACAACCAAAATAAATCATTTTGGAAACAGAGAATACCTAACTGGAAGTTTTCGCTTTAATTCAGTTTTTATTTCACAAACAATGTACCAAACTGCAGTATTTATGGGATGTTTTATTTAGATGTTAAAACAACTTGTGCCAGCTGCATGGTGTTGCACATGGTGATGAGAAGCCTCTGTGATATCTGACTACTAGCAAGCTTAAACAGTTTCCACATGTGACAATAAATCATCATCATAGCTACAGTGAAAAGGTCAGCTCCATTTGATGGATTATTATATGGCTCATTTCGACAAAGAGAGGAAATCAAAAGCAAGTGCAAAGCTAAAATAAGATCTATTTGATCAAAAGTCTGTCTACTCCCATCACTAATGTTAGAACGCGAAGTCTGATTAGCATGTCACTGAATGTCATGACCATTATGTTTCATCTCGCGATGTACATTATTGCAATGAGTTGTTTTTTTATAGTTTAGTTTTACTTTCTCCTATTGTATCATGGCTAAGTTGTAATAAGGAAACAAACCATTAGCATTAGATGATTGACATTTGAATGTGGTGTTAGATCCCTAATTCCTAGTAATTCCCAGTCCCTTTTGTTTCTTTAAGAAATCTGTTTATTCCTCAATCCCATTATTTCTTTCTCAAGTTCAGTACTGTGCAAATTGAACTTCAGCCTTCATCTACAGCTTGCTGATTATGATATAATCAAAGATTTCGATCCAGAAAACTTGGGTACCGCTTTTCAAAGGAAATTGATTCCTTGTGGGAATGACAACATAATAGTAACTGTGTGGGAACCAGCTGAATCGTTAAACCTCAATGGCAACAGCTAAGCTTCAAATATTCTAATGAGTTCCAGTGGAACTAGATTTTGGTTGCCTGTGTATTTTGTGACTTTGGCATGTAGAAAGGAGAGGGAGCCAAATAAATATTCAAGCAAGATGTCTACCCCTATAGGACCTTGCAATGATTGTAGGCAAGTGGATATGATGTCATGCTCTGGGCATTTGAATATTGAATATATTATGAATTATAAATTACAAAATGATAAAACGTGAGTGATGCTTGCCAAACTTGGTGCCATGATGATATGGTATTTTCGGAAATAGTTGCTAAGCTGTTCTGAGTGTTTTAGTACATTGTCGTGCAGTTGCAAAGGTATTATGGCTTATTGCTATGCACTTACTTGCGTGTTTTTAAGCGGTTGCTTGGCCATTGCTATGTGATTTCAAAGCTGATGTTATGTTGCTGTGCAGTTGCTAGGGTTATCGGAGTGTTTGCTTGGGCATTGCGATGCAGTTATTAGTGTGTTCTGTGTGGTTATTTAGTCGTTGCTATGCAGTTACTAGCTGTTCTGTTCACTAAATTAAACGTAAAAATGTAGACTACTTTCTACTCCATTTTCTGACAACTTGCTCAGTAGCTCACTAGCTCAGTGGTCGTGCCAAAAGGTGAATTGCTACAATAGAAATTACCACACCTTGACAGACAGCTTTCGCGACCAATGATAAAGACCAGATTTCACCACGCCCCTACCTTTCGTCACGCGCATTTATACACACTCTTGGAGGCGTATGAATCCCGTGAATCACGAGGCACGACTTGTAGAAACAAGCTAATGGCATGGTTGCTTCAGCAATCGCGGTTTTATGTCACAAATGCTTTTGTTAACATCAGGTTGGTTTAAAACACGATGGTGCATTAACCTTTTAGCGCCACTCACGGGATATTTCAAGCTGTGAGGCGTACAACAATCAATGTTTGTTTCAGATGAAACTGAACACTCTTTTAGTGCCACTCGCTGGACATTTTACTTTGAAACTGTCGCAAAACATGCGCAACTCAACGTAATTTCACTTCGCAGAAATGTCAAGTCAATTCACCTTTATTTATATAGTGCTTTTTACAATACAGATTGTTTCAAAGCAGCTTTGCAGTGATACCAAACTAATGCAACAGTTTCTGCTGTACAGCAGATCTCGAATAAAATAGCGTCTGAGTCCAGCTTAAGTAAGTTCAGTGATGGTTAATTTTTGTTTTGTAAAAAGTTACATTTTATATTGGGCATATAAGTGGGAACACAATGTTATGATGTGAGTTCCTGAGTAAAGAGTTATTCTGAGTATCACAAGCATTCCTGGTTTGTTATTGTGAATATAACACAACACATTTTATATAATATATATATATATATATAGCCGCTCTGGAGAAAACAGTGATGTCATCGTCCAGCTTAGTTCAGTTCTCATATAGGCCTAATGGTGTCAATGCAGGCAGATCAATAATATTGTTGAATATTAAGAGTCCCCAACTAAGCAAGCCAAAAGCCAAAGGCAACAGTGGCAAGGAACCAAAACTCCATCAAGTGACAGAATGGAGGAAAAAAAAACCTTGGGAGAAAACAGTCGGGGGCTCAATCAGGGGCCAGTTCTGTTGCCACAGGTACATTTTTCTAATGAGCCTGGGTTGCGAATGGAAGTTAATGAACCACTCAGTACACTAGGAAACAGCGTGCAGAATGTGTTGCCCATTCATGAGCTTAAGCTCTCTTGTGTGCTGTGGCCCAGAGTCTCTGCAGCTGGCCTGAAGGTTCAGGCCCCATCCTCTATAATAGTGCACGACACTTCAAGGAAGTTTTCTCTTGCCAAAGAAAACATGATGATCTCAATAACAGGTCAGAGATTCTCACAAACCAAAGCGTTACATAATTATTCACTGGCTAACAGCTCAATATTCTAACTTTCCAAGACGTGTCCTTACACCATCCATCAAAGCTGCCAAGCGTAATAACCCAGGCGAAGTAATAATGTTCAAAGTTTATATTAATCATCAAAACGCACTCAAATGCTATTTGACACTTCTCTGTTGTCAGAAACAGACCTCAAACTTCAAGCCAAATGAATTTTAGCCCAGTATATCTTTAATAACTTACATTAATGTGTTTGCAATGTCCCAGTGTCAAACCCCGACCTCCTCTGCTGCTCTACAGCAAAGAAAACTGGATCGACACAATGACAGAATTCACTCAGGAAGTCATGGGCCGTGAGAAAAATCTATCTACCTCTTATGTCAAAAAGAGCGATATGAAAACAATGTACAGTATACATATTTCTTGGGCTTTAAGTTTAAAATAGAAAAAAAATGGAAAGCTAGAGGGTGTCATGTTTTCCCTCTCCTGAATAACACATGACTTGCCAGAGTAAACTGCGCCAGATGTAAAGCCAAGGGTTGAGGCCAATTTCATTTTCTTCCATGCTGAATTCATTTCACGCAAGCATTTTCTCACTTAGATGTTTCATAAATTGTCTGTAGCAACAAAGTTAATGTCGAAGGGAGATTAAAAGAAATATTAAGAACTATTAAAGATTTTGTGCTAAAGGCTATAAAAAAAACAAGTTTGTGGGGTTAAATAACTGACCCTACGGAAAACTCCCCTGAATGTTATGACTTGTGACATTATTATTGCATGGAAATTAATTTGGGGACCGAACTTGTTTGATATTTTTAATGGTATGCCGTTAGGACGGGGTTAAGTTACGATTTAAACAAGCAACTGCATTACGCAACAAAAAATTATAAAAGCTCTACAAACAGATTATGTCAAAAACGTCTAGACAGCCGCCAGAGTGTGTTGAAGTCAGAGCTAATTTTAAACCATTACTTCTGGGCGCAAGTTAAATGCTCTTGTTGTGATGGCAAATCTAAATAGTTTATAGGGAATTATTGTACAAAATAAGCCAGCCTCTAAACAACAAGTTTAGAGCCAGCAAGTTTTTTTATTTTTTAAAGAAATTAATGCTTTTATTTAGCAAGGACGCATTAAATTGATCAAAAGTGGCAGTAAAAGCTTTTATAATATTACAAGAAGATTTCCATCTCAAATAAATGCTTTTTATTTATCAAAGAATAATCCTGAAAAAAACGTATCATGGTTTCCACTAAAATTTTAAGCAGCACTACTGTTTTTGATATTGATAATAATAAGAAATGTTTCTTGAGCAGCAAATCAGCATATTGGAATGGATCGTGTGAAACTGAAGACTGGCGTAATAATGCTGAAAATTCAGCTTAGCATAAAAATAAACATGTT